CACTATTATATTAGTGAAACCTGTAAGTCTCTTCGCCAAAGGTTAGCTGAACACCAGGTTGAAACAGGAAATCAAACTAAATGGTTTCAAACCTATCGGTGTGCTGATTATGTTACATCTGTTACTATACGTGACATGAGGCAGACTATTGAAATTAATATTACGCATGCACATACACATTCAAGTACAAATACTTAGATTAATATGAAAAAGAACTAATCAACTAATTATATACCCTGCCATTTAATTACGCATCATCTATCCTCTTTTCTTCACTATGCTTAGCACATTATCTCCTCTTCTCAAATGCTGTCAAAGTATATCATCTCGTGCAACACCAGCTGTTCACGGAAGTGACGAATTTCATGTACCACCCAGAGAAGATTCTGTTGCAGCCGCTCTCCTTCTTGTTAATCTAGTCACATCGCAGCTTCGACCGCCAAGTCTGGCACTTGCCTCTCCAGCTCCTGTGACCGGGGCGACTTTCTTAAACCATTCGGCAACAGGACTTTCGGATCAGATGGTAGGCTTAAACTAGATAAAAAAAACTATTTTACTTGTCATGATATGTCGCTGGGCAAGTAGGCAAAATATGTAGCGAGTCGATTCTTGGTTGTGTAAATTCGCGAATGTATGGCGGAATGTCAGCTTTCATAATTATAGTATAGGAATGGAAGGACTTAAGGAATAAAAGAAGGTCTAGTAGATGAAATTGTGCGCCAAATATATTCCTTTTGCCGTGTGAGTAGCTGAGTTGATTGCTTAATAAATGAGTTGCTCAGTGGAAGAATTTGATCTGGGAGATTCTATAAGCCAATACTTAAATTTTTGAGTTGACAAATTAATGATTGACCGTAAGCCTCTTCTCAATTGCTTCTAAACGAAGGGATTATTAAGTTCATTATCCTAACTTTTGCACATATTAAGAGCTGAACATATAACTAGAGCTATAGAAGAGAGCCTGAGTAGATATTTGTTGACAGGTCGTCGTATATTGTATTGGTA